CAATAAAGGCTGCGATTCAGAATAAATAACACGGTCAGAGACTCCCAAGAATCGGGAGCTCTGATACCATGTTAGTAAGTGGGTTTAAAGCCTAACTTGTTAGTAAGTGGGTTTAAAGCCTAACTCAACCCCACAAAACCGGCTTGTAAGGTGAGGTTTGCACCTCACTTATATATTATAAATTGGCCTTATTTCTAGTCGATGTGGGACTTCCAACACACCCCCTTCACGCCGAGGTATAGACATCTCGTGCGTGATAGTAGAAATTGGGTGGTCCAATAGCGGCCCGATTGCGGGTGGAATAGAAGAATAGAATGCCCACTTAGAACTCGCTAGGATAGGCTCTAACCATGACTCTGATACCATCTCAAATGTAGGATAGAATACTTTCTTATTCTTTCTTATGAGGTTGTTAACCTCTATTTGTATACATAAGTCAGCAGCATATTTTAGGAAATATGGGCTGCTAATTCTACTGGACAAATCCCTAACATTACAGGATCAATCAAACATAAATAGCCTATTAATGGCAGCACCCAGCAGTTACAGAAATACAGCACATTTAAATAAAAGACTTCCTAAAATACACTGTGCCAATTAATACCACTCCAATCACGGTTTTGACAATTTAGTTGAATTATTCACATATATTAATTGTCATCTGTTACTGAAGTTTTTAAGGACCTGGTTTGTTGACTGTTTCATGGCAAGCTTTATTGATATTCACAGTTGGGTTGTGAACATGTTATACTGCTATACATTGCACATATTAGTTAATAGAGATTATCTTTCATCCTGGACAGGAATGAATTATGCAAAATTGGTTACCATGAAACAGAGAGTTTATCTTTCATGGGCATTCGGTTTTTAGACTTGCTTTATCTCTGTAAGCATTTGCTTACTCTACTGTCAATAACGAACATTTTTTTATACACTGGCTTCTTATTAATTCAGGACCACTATTTCCACATTTAGAGCTCTGTTCAATTGGTCAAATTTGTCTGCCTGTGATATGGGAACGACCTGACCTGGATAGATACTGAATGTCATGATTTTCTTGATTTGTATTGTAATTAATATCCTCTTTTGTGAATTTTGTAGATATCAAGTGATGAATCAGTTGAAACTGCAAAACAATTAGCACTCCAGGAAGGCTTGCTGGTTAGTCCTTCATATTTTTCAACCCTTTGTGTATTTTAAGTTTCTCAATGTGTTTTGGTGTGCATGTCCTGTGCACTTACACACAACGAGACATGCCCGAGTTGGTTGAAACAATCATGCACAAGATCATGTTATTTAGTACACTCACCGTATTAAACGTTACTTATATTCAAGAATGATACTTACCAAACCCTGTTGTATAGAACATAAGAACATGTGTATTATCTAGTCACACCTTAATTCTGATATAAATGTAAAGCTCATATGCGTTTGCTTTATACTTTGCCTCTTACATGCTAATTTCAATTGGAGAACAGGTGGGAATTTCTTCTGGAGCTGCTGCCGCAGCTGCTTTGAAGGTTGGAAAGAGGCCTGAAAATGCAGGAAAACTTATTGGGGTATGCATATTTCCTACGAAAAAGATCAAAATCTATACATAGTTTGTATAAGGAATTTACTCCATCTAGAGAAGGATCTTTGCTGAATTTACAAAAGCATCATGCAGATAGAGTTCTCATTTTACCAATCTGATCATATTATGTTTTTTCTTAACAACCTAACCTTCGAGATAAGATCTAGATTTTGGTTCTTGAGGATAAGTGTGGTATTGTAGTCCTGTTCACTAGTATACGATATTATATAAGTATCCTGTTGCTTGCATTGTAGGACACTGTAATTCTTATCCATTTAGCTTATACATGGTTGTCTTGTCGTATTTGCTCATCCTTATGCATTCATGGTTATACATTGATTTTTCTACGGTGTGCTCAGTGTGAATCTACCGAGTATTCAGGCTTAAAAGGCTGCAAATGCTTTTCATTGTTTATTATGTACTTTCCCCCGCTATTATTGTGGGCTAAGTTTCTTTTCTCTTTCCTTTCTTTTATGGTTACTGGCCTGAATTATATAATTTAAATTAAATTTTTATTCTCCTATTGAGGGATGGATGGTTTTTTGGTACGTAGCCAGAAAGAGAATCACTTACATCCGCATTTTTTCTTTTGTTTGTTTAAACGTTTCTCGTTAGTTGTTTTCTGCCACTTTATCTTTTTTCCCTCTTAACGCTTCATATGATATTGAAATTTCAGTAAGAAGTTACTCTAATTCTATTGCGCAAAATATTTACTGCTTGCAGGTTGTCTTCCCTAGCTTTGGTGAAAGATATTTGTCTACTCTTCTTTTCCAGTCAATTCGGGAAGAATGTGAGAAAATGCAACCTGAGCCATGAATCGACTTTGCCTGTTAATGTTTCTTTCACATTTGCCTCGAGTATCTGTATTACATGCCATACTATGTCTATGTTTCTCATTTTTTACCTTAAAAAATTATATAAATCTATACAGGTCATTGATTTCACTTACAGCACATATTAATGATCCTTGATTGAATAAGAGTTTATTCTCTTCTCTCTTTGGGATAAAACTTTCAGATGTAGGAATTACTTGTTTTGCCCTTTTTCATGTATGACAGCTTCGCTTATATAAAATAACTGGGGAAATTGTTTATCTATCGCTTTCTGTGCATCTCTCCTCTGGACTCTCGCTCGTCTATTTTTACCGGTAAAAAAGGTTAAACTACTGTAATCAATAAATTATTTGATAATTTTAACTAGATTTTTGAACGATTTATTTTTCAATTAAGTTTTTGATCTTGTATTTGTCTTGTAGGTGGTTCTTTCTGTCTCTATTATATAAAATTAACTTGAGTCATTTCAGTCTGCAAAAAGATTGTTATAAAGGTGATATATGAAAAGTCCCTCAAAAAATTAACTCGAGTCATTTCTCAGTCTGCAAAACATTGCTATAAAGAAACACTTGAGAAGACTTGTATGTTGTGTTGAATGAGTTAATAATTTAAAAGGATAATTAATTTATTTCAAGAATTTATAGTTTTTCATTCTAGAATAACTTAGTAATTAGAAAGAAAATGAAATTTAAATTTTTGTAAAAGGTATTTCAAATTAATAAAATAAAAGAATTTCAAATATTTTAAAAGAGAAATTTGAAATTCCATTTTTTTTTTCTAGTGGACTTAAGCTAAAGGTTCATGTAAGTCGATTTACATTGAAAACTTAGTGGAGTCAGTTCAGATTAAAGGCTCAACAAACTTAGCTCGAGCCGAAAGTCAAATCAATTTGAATTGGACCAAAGGTCAAGAAGAATTGATTCGTAGTGATGATTGGCATGTGTTTTTCCGAGATAAAGGTCGAGACGGGTTGATAGAGGACTATCTATAACTCTATATAAGAAGAACTTGAGGAGGAGCCTTTGGCATTCAAAGGACATGAAAGAATGAAGATCATGACTTGAAACATATTTGAAGAATAATTCTTAAGAAAATTAGTTTATGTTTCTATGTTTTTAAGCTTTAGGTTTTCTTTTAGAAATTAGTTTATGTTTTTATGTTTTTGGGCTTGAGCTTTTTTTTAGGGTTTTTAGGTTTTCTTAAACTTATGTGTCCTTATATATAAAGGTACTAAAAGTTGATATAAACACTTTTGAGTCATATTATATGCATTTGCTTTCTTTGAGAGAAGATTTTCTTATTTCTTGATTTAGAACTTTGATTCTAATCAAAGATTAACATCTTTGTGACAAATTTTGATTTGACTTATCAATCCACTAGATTGTGGCATCCCTTATACTTATCTTACTTCGTGTTGTTCTCTTATTTATTTTTGTTGCGCCTCTTGAGGATTCAAATTCATAAGTGATCATACTCTTTCTTGGAAAAGATCATATCATCTAACACCAAAAAGTATAATCTGATATCCAAATTATATCATCTCGTATCTAGAGCAAGGTTCTCGTTTGAATTTCTTTTTCTATCTTAATTTTTCTCATATAAAGAAAATCCAAAACAATTTTGGATGTTTGTGTTTTGTGCTTTGTTTTGAAATTTCGTTTGTTTCATTGTTCTTAGAATTTTGTAAGGAGTAAAACCCGTAAGGTTTTATCTAATTCCGTTGAGTTTTTTTATTTTTTTCATCTTCTTCGATTAAATTTGTGCATTTCTACATTTGATTCGTGGAAATTATCTGTTGTTTTTTTTTTNTATTCTCCTATTGAGGGATGGATGGTTTTTTGGTACGTAGCCAGAAAGAGAATCACTTACATCCGCATTTTTTCTTTTGTTTGTTTAAACGTTTCTCGTTAGTTGTTTTCTGCCACTTTATCTTTTTTCCCTCTTAACGCTTCATATGATATTGAAATTTCAGTAAGAAGTTACTCTAATTCTATTGCGCAAAATATTTACTGCTTGCAGGTTGTCTTCCCTAGCTTTGGTGAAAGATATTTGTCTACTCTTCTTTTCCAGTCAATTCGGGAAGAATGTGAGAAAATGCAACCTGAGCCATGAATCGACTTTGCCTGTTAATGTTTCTTTCACATTTGCCTCGAGTATCTGTATTACATGCCATACTATGTCTATGTTTCTCATTTTTTACCTTAAAAAATTATATAAATCTATACAGGTCATTGATTTCACTTACAGCACATATTAATGATCCTTGATTGAATAAGAGTTTATTCTCTTCTCTCTTTGGGATAAAACTTTCAGATGTAGGAATTACTTGTTTTGCCCTTTTTCATGTATGACAGCTTCGCTTATATAAAATAACTGGGGAAATTGTTTATCTATCGCTTTCTGTGCATCTCTCCTCTGGACTCTCGCTCGTCTATTTTTACCGGTAAAAAAGGTTAAACTACTGTAATCAATAAATTATTTGATAATTTTAACTAGATTTTTGAACGATTTATTTTTCAATTAAGTTTTTGATCTTGTATTTGTCTTGTAGGTGGTTCTTTCTGTCTCTATTATATAAAATTAACTTGAGTCATTTCAGTCTGCAAAAAGATTGTTATAAAGGTGATATATGAAAAGTCCCTCAAAAAATTAACTCGAGTCATTTCTCAGTCTGCAAAACATTGCTATAAAGAAACACTTGAGAAGACTTGTATGTTGTGTTGAATGAGTTAATAATTTAAAAGGATAATTAATTTATTTCAAGAATTTATAGTTTTTCATTCTAGAATAACTTAGTAATTAGAAAGAAAATGAAATTTAAATTTTTG